TAGAACCGGTGGTAGCAGTAAGAATCATTTTTACGTACAAACAAATCACTATTTACAACTATAGTTATCGTTAGTGCTGCACCTTATTAAATTCTTCTCCTTATTAAATTTAATTGATGTCTAACTGTATAATAAAAGATTTTTTTTATCAAACCATCATGAATTTTTAAAGCTTGGCGTTGATAACGTATCAATGTTTTGTGGACTGTGTATTTATTTACTTATTTATATATTTGCCAACGGATTTACACACCAATTTTACAGTTTTGATTAGGCCTAAAGACGATTATCATAACATTTGATGACACTATCAAAACATTCAAATAATTATTTTGTTTGTAATTTGCTTTGGTTAAAGCGTAGCAAACCCCCTAATTCAATTTTGTATTTGTGTGTGTATGTCTGTTGGTAACGCATTAATGTCCTTATTTCTCAGTGTTTCGTGGAAAAGACAAGAGCGCCTTTGTTAATGAAAATTTCAACTCAAATAAAGTGAATTAGTGAGTCGGTGGCTCATTCGGTTGCGTCGCGGACTTCGGGCCGAAGGCAGCGATGTCGTGGGTTTGGATCCTGGTCACTGCCACTAAAATTTATCAGTACAGTTCACTTTTGTACTGTACCGCCTTGCTTTGCTGTAAACGCTCCACGCACGGGCGGTTAGTCTATGTGGACGGGCAAATGCAAGTTTAAAAGAGGCCGCCGGCCGCCAACCTCTTTTTTAAAAGTAAAGTAGTAAAGTAAAGTGTGCAGTAGTGAGGTTGAGGTAGTATTTTAACTACTTTTAACCAGTGTCAAAAGTAACTTTCAATTACAGGCCTACCTTAGGGCTATGCCTCATATATCTATAAAGCAATTCCTTTTATCATTAGATATAAAATATGGACTAACACGATCGGGTGACATTTAATTGCGAAGCATTCGTTTTGGCTTTGAAACTGTCAGATATTGTATTTGCGAAGGTTTATATGTGTTCCTATACAGTAATAGTTTTGCCAGCATATCTGGAAAAATGCACACTAAATATGCAAACCAACTCCTGTTCCGAACATAAGGTTTCAACTTACTACAAGGTTCCCGTACGTAGAACGGGCAAACAGCTAGTTGTAAATAAAGAAACTTAGTTTACAGTTGGATTTTTTTAGCTAGAAGCAGTTAAGGTGTGGTGGAATATCTTTGAAGATGAACCTATTTGGCTGTAGTGCAATCATGTGTTCATATGTGTCAAATTTTGAGGTTAACGCATACTTGGAATTGACTTTAGTTAAATTTAACTTACTCTAGCCTAATTTTATAAAAGTAATTGGCAATTTAGAGAATATTTACTGTGAAATAGAGACGTGATTCATAATTATTCCAAATCAACTAATGAATAAGTTGCTATTTAATTATTGTCTCCAAATTATAAGTAATGGTTGCTTTGAAAATAGTTAATTATATGAGCAAATTTTAATCTTCTTGCATAATTAATTTTTATAATTAAATTAATAGAATAATGTGGTTGCTGTGACTGAGATAAACCTAAAATAACTGTTTTTGGGACGTACAGTAATGATGATTTACGTTTAGTTTTGATTTGTAAATCTCTTCCCGCCTTTTGGGTTTCAAATTATACGATAGGCCAAGGAAGCAAGATTAGAGTTTGTAAAATGCAATAGCCTAAATACTGAATGTTTTCTAATAAATTAGACAATGAAATATACTAAATTAATTCATTATATAATAATTGGACATTCTTTCAAAAGTAATACAACACCAAGGCAACATGGCCCTTATGCCTAATTCCTAATTGACATCATGCCAGTTTGTTTGTTTTGATTTAACCTCAACATTTGACACATGAACACATGATCCACTAGAGTGAAACAGGTTCATCTTCAAAGATATTCCACCACACCTTAAACTGAACTGCTTCTAGCTAAAAAAATCCAACTTGTACTAACAGTTTGCAAAAAAAAAAAAAAAAAATACCCCCGCCGCAGCAAACCTGTAGACTAAGCGAATTTCCATTTGCCTGATTGGATTTACACTAAAATGTCTTCTTAAAAATATCACATTTATCCCTATTTAAATAGAATCAGTTTAACACATACTTAAGTTTGCTGCAACAGGGAGGGTAAAAGTGTTTTTTATGTAAAATGTTAATTGTTAGTAAGAAATAAAAACATGTTCCAAATTTGGGCAAAATATGTTAATAAACAAGTAAACTACAACAGTTTACTTATTCTCCATAAGAATAACATGAGAATTTTAAATTTGCAATTTTTTGGAATTTTCTCCGTAACCATTAGGCGCATTATAAAGCTTCAATATACTAAATTATTTGTTTTTTAAGCTCTACAAAATAGTTTAGAAAGAAATTGCAAAATTTGATGTTTTTTGGGTAAAAAAATGGGAAAAACCCATTTTTACCCCATTTTTACCCCCCATAAACCCCCGTTCCCATGGTCCGATCATGCTGGTTCGCGAACTCGTTCGAATAAACGTAGGTTTACACGTTTGTACCAAATTTCATCAAAATCGGATAATTTTTGCTCGAGTTGTCGCGCTAACGGACACATATATATATATATATATATGAATTTGAACGGATGGTGTTTTTGGCCTCTAGGGACCTCAAAACGAAAAAAAAATCGGTCCCGGGTCCAGGTCTTACCATGAGTACTACGGTAATAGCTTATTCCCTATATGGGAAATTCGCTAAAAAAAAAAACAAAAAAAAAAACAGAGTGAGTTTAAATAATACTGAAAGTGAAAGAATACATAGTTGATAATCCTGACAATAATAACAAATGTTGTGCTTATAGACTATAAAAAATCCAACAATATAATAACGATATAACGACAACAACATGCATATAATGACAACCTACCAGCTAAACAACAACCGACAAAATAACCAAAGGTATACTAATAAAAATAAATAAATTTGAAACAACAACATCAAACCCACAAGTTAACAACCAATAACAACTGAGAAATAGTTATTTGTGCAACTAGTGAGAAAAGTGAGCAATTGACTCACTCAGAGAAGTCCTTACTCACGAGCCGTAGGCGAGTGAGGAATGGTTTCTCGAGTGAGGCAATTGTACTTTGAACTCGAGTTGCACATTATACTTTTCCTACAGTTACCATAAAACAAATAAATTGGTGAAGAAATATAACCTATTTTTACACAGAAGTGAACTTTTAATATAACATTTAATGTGAAGTGACAAATACAACAGTACAACAGCTGACCAGCTGATTATTACAGCCAGTGCTACCAACGTATTTCGCGCGCATACGACGTTGTCTTCCACTGAGCTAAAATTATAACTGGAGGTAGCACTGCCATGGCAGAAGTCTGTCAAAACCGTGTCGCTGATTTTGTTAGGTTGGTATAGCAGTAAGTTTTCTTATCATAGCAATAACATGGCTTCTTATAACTAGGTTGGTATAGCAGTGAGTATTTTTGTCATACTTGAATACTTTAAATACTTTAATAATTTTCTTTGAAATGGCGACCATACAAAGTAGGTATTTTAAGCCAAGTATAATAATAGTTATAGCAATAATATGGCTTCTTATGACACCAGACTCACGCAAACATGGCGGCTGGCGACACGCATCTTTGACATTCAGTGCTACCTCCAGTTATAATTTTAGCTCAGTGTTGTCTTCATGTTACGCGCTCACTATTTCGTGCCTTCACGTTGCGAATCTGGAGTGAGACAAAGTAATTAGAGTGAGACAATGTTAACATTGTCTCACTGATGAGCGAATTGGCCACTTTGCTTTCTCAAATCAGTGAGACAACATGTACATTGTTAGGTAACTGTAGGAAGAATAAATAGTAGACTACATATAATAATAATAGAGCAACAACAAACCTATAGCCTATAGCCAAACCTATATGCAAATGACAAAAAGTGAATTATTTAACAGACAAGAAGAAGAATATTTGTAATGGCAACAAAACAACGAAAAACAGTGTTTAATTAAACACAGGTCATCAGAGACTTTGATAGAAAGAAAAAAACAAAACATTAAGTGTTAAAGTGTTGATCTTCTTTTTCAGTGTAGTCACGATGTGTAGAAAAAAAGTCGTAATGTCTTGTCACTTCGTTGCCAGCTCCACAGACAACATGGTTATAGTAGTATGTTTTCTGTGCCAGCAGCTCCCTGGACTTGAACCATCGTACTGTTGATTGAGTAGCTAATGCGGTGATGTTGCTTAATAAACAGATCAGTCAACCTTGTGTTAGAAGGAGTGTTACCCTTGGGCTCAATAGGAAGACCCTGCGGAAGGTGGTTGGCTTCATCAGCGGCCATCGGGTATTCCACGGACATCTACACAAGATGGGAATTCAAGTGGAAAGACTCTTATTTAGGAAATGTGGAGAGGAGGAAGGGACACCCTTCCACATGATATTTATTTGTCCAGCTCTACAATATCTGCGTATGAGATCCCTAGGCCTATCGACTGGATATCAAAGGGAAGAACAGGTTACCATAGTCAAAAGGATCTCATGGTCACAAAGGACCTAAGATTTGACGGGGTATGAGGACCTGTGAATGAGGGTGCACAATAAGCTGTTACAGCTGCGATGCAATCCCATGGTTACTTGTAAGCCCTGTCCCCTGTCAAAAATTATTACCATAGAGCACATGAATATTTTATATGCTATGTTCATTACCGAAAGGAAGAAAATCGCGATCGCAGGAAACAGGAAATACAAAACTATGTTTCCGTGATCGCAACAGTTGCTCACGGAATGTGTAGTCACAGAGAAGTAATATAAAGAGAAGTAATATTTATATTACTTTTCTGTGGTGTAGTTATTATAAATCTATGCTCGCCAGTCGCGAGAAACGTTTACGTCATAATCTTTATCCCGAGATGCTCCCTTTAGCTGCTCCGACCCGAGAGGCTCCCTGCAGCCGATTCTAGTCGTTTAGTTTTTTAGGTTAGGTTACTTTGTTTTGAATGTTTTGTTAGGGTTTGTTATGTTGGAGTTGGATAGTCAGTCTCAGTCAATGATAAATGCAGTAATAATGTCTTGACGTATGTATACAGTCGCATCATTATCAGTGGTTTAGAAATTAATAATGAACGACATTATTGTTATTAGCCAATATTACAAAGTAAATTGGACCAAACTCGTTAAATAAAGAATTAGCCTATACTTATTGGCAAAAACAGATAGGCCTAATCTAGCCTAATATAGGCCTAACTCGGCGTAAGTAAGGGGTATTACTTAACACACTTTTCTAACGTTGTTTTCATTATTTAACAATGAGTGAACTGCCTAGTGAAGAGGATGAGCATATTTCTGTCTCGGAACCAAATACAACTAAGCCTAGTAAAGTAGAACCAGAATTATTGGCCAAAGAAGAAATAAACGAATTGGAGGTTAGAGGTTGTATTGTGGAAACAAAAGAACTGGCGAATAAAAATGCTGACCATGCAATCGATCCTAGCTTAGATATAAAATCAGAAAATCCTGCAAATGATCCTTATGCGTATTTAGAAAGGAATGGATTCACTTCAGAAATTTTCAAAATTGAAGTAAGAGGATTACCAAAGTTTTACGGAATTGGGGTGAGTTATTAATAGCATAAGCTATGTTATTCCTCATTATTAAATTTAAATACAATCCTATCCTTCTTTAAATCATAAATTATAAGTCCTTTTGATTCCAACCAAGATCGTTTAACTGAACCCAGATCCAGATGCAAAATTTGTCATTGGGCTTAACCTAACTAACTTAACCAAACTTTGCTGATAGGCTAAGTGAAAAAAAATCAAATTACGGTTAAATTCTGTTCATAAAATTATATTAGGGCCTATAAAGGCCTCAAATTCTAACAAAAGATGTACAGCTAAACTTAACCCTAGATTGGTGTCTTCGGTCTGTCGAGTCTTAAGGGTTAACCACAGACTGCAGGACTTAAAACTTCCAGAGCAAAGCCGAAATATATATTTTCATTTAAACATCTGTTAAATAAGTCCGGTTCATAAAATAGTTTCTTAGCAAAACTTGATAAAAAATTGTTCGTAATATATGAGCTCATCTAACTTGCTTCTTATTTTGCTGAATTATCATGTAGTTTCGGTTACAGTTCGGTGTGATGAATAAGTGAATGTTTGAAAGTGATTATTCACAGTGCAGTTACCCACCCGTTGCATTACCGTATCACGTAATTTACAATGTATATCAAAATTCCGTTGTAGTGTTTTCTGTTGTTTGTTTAACTTCCGTATTTTATCTCAATTTAAAATTAAGCCACCAGTAAGACGAAGAAATGTGAGTGGCTGGAGGGAACGCGGGCGTGACCGCTCGCGTCAACCTACCAATGGAACATTTGAAGGATACAGAGTGGCAGTACCACCGTGGTGATACATCATGGATACATCTCCTCAGACAAATGGACGTTAAATGTTTACATTGTGGTTGCTTACAATTTAAGCAAAGGAAAGATGACCGAAGCAGTTCAATTTTCACTCATTGTTACCATAAATGAATGAAAGATCCGTTTACCTCATCTGCGGAATTCACTATACTTTCAGGAACTTATTGGAAACTCCCAATCTGAAAACAGGGCTGCGAGGCTTATTTGGATTTAGAAATTATTTGGATAAAATTTGTCAATTCAATTTTCGCCTTTGCTATTGTCAGCTCTATGAAGCTTATTTATATGAGAGGATCACACAGGGCATCTACAATTTAAAGATCCACGACACGTCTTATCTCCGAGTAAATCATCTAATTCCTTTAGAAGGTCATCGTGAACCCGCACAGATGTATAGTTGGGTACGACGTTGGCACTGGAACCCAAAAGCGCTTGAAACACAATTCAAACAAAAAATGCCATAAAAAATATGCGGGAATAGGGTCACATTGCCAACCTATTTGCCTAATCTTTTAAAATTGTGGCGGAAATGTGTAGGGACGAGAGGTCCGAGGAGTCAAGTGAGATTCATGTCCGCTTACTTAAATGCTACTTAAATAAATGTCGCAGCTATTTTTAAAGCTGAAAACAGAGCACCACCTGGCCAAATAAATCTTAGGTCTTTTCCAAAAACTAATAATTTTAAACGCGAATCCGTTCTAGATCCGTCGTTAGATCCACTTGCTTACCCTCTTATGTTCCCAATCAGAGACTTTCGTTTGCGCCCGTAATTTAAACACGCCTAAAAACAGAACATACAGGTAGTACAAATAATTTAACAATGCTATAGTACGTGTCGTACTGGTTGGTGTCAAGAGAGCGATTTAGCTTGCTACAAAAAGTCTGAAAAACTCACTTTACAGTGTGTGGTTGACATCTACGTTCTCATAGAGGGCACCCGCCTACAGTTTATAAGAGATAGGTAGTCAAAGCATTACGAGAGCGGATCTATATTTAAATATTGTATATACTAATTTTATAATTTTTTTACAACATTATATTTTTCATATTTCTGTAATCAGTCAGAAATTACTTTAGAGTGACTCTTTGATTAAGTCTTGCTGTTTATTTTTTTACTGGTTATTCTTTCATTACAGCCTGCAGTTTTGCTCGGTTTCAAGCAACAGGTTATCAAGTATTTTTAAAAGTTCCTAATCCCCCCGCCAGGATTCAGGACTTGTGTCTCCTGCTACTTTCCTACCTCGACTCAGTCTACCACCAGACGCTGGAACAAAAATTTTGAGGTTACAGATTCGTCTGCAATTGTGTAATTCGGTCCCGTACACCGAAGAAACCCAACTCTTGATTGGTCCAACCGACCGAAGACACTTAAAATGATTAATATTACTATATAACTTATAATGTAATACTATGTACATTAATATAAAGTTATCCATTTATATAGGCCCAGGTTATGTAAAATAATATAGCCTATATAATTGTAATCATTTTACATAAATTATAGGTACTTATACCGGTATCTTGTATTTGCATCTAGTTAGGCCCTGTATACTTCAAATATTTATAAAATTAATATGAAAACACTCTCACAGTCTGAAGACACCAATGGTGTAGGCTAATCAAAATCGCCATTACTCTATGGGTAAAATAGGCATTATTTGAAGTCAGTCAAACTTTAAAATAGATGGAAATCTGATGGTTTAGGTTTGTTTACATGAACTACAGTTCATAAACTTTCATAATATATCAATAAAGGCTTAAAATTAATTTAAAAACTGTATTTTTTTTTAAGTTTCACTCTATCAACATTTGATACATGTATTTGTTTTTTCAAAATTATTTTACCAACACTCAAAAGGGGTTTATTTAATGATAAACCCCATGAACATTTAAACATATACCTATAGAAGTAATAATTTAACACAGTTTTATCTTTTATGTTTATTGGTTATAGTTATAGGCTACCGGTATACAAAATATTAAAAAAAATCTAACGGTCTCACAGACCTAAGACACCAAATGTGTGATAAAAATCATGACACCACTCTAGGACCTAAGAATAGCAATCTAAGCAAAATCTTGGACAAAAAGTTAATGTCACCTATGGGATTCGATCTTGATACCTCTTGTACAACAGTTGAGTACTGTAAATCGTATCCTTGTGGTAATAGTGTTCTGGGCCCCCACAACCCGGTGACGTCCCTGCCGGACGCCTAATCCACGTTCGGTTCAGACACGTATTTTCTGCGTATCAATTAACCCTTTGTCGGTGTCTTTGATTTTAAAACACAATTGGTGAGACACAGAGTTTTTTCCAAGTGTGTTGAAACATTAGATAAATTTAAACAATGTTTTTACATATTTCAATAAAAAAACGTAATTAAAAACCATGTAGTTTAGCCCTATACGCCCTAACCAATAAAATGTAAGTTACATGAAATCAATTAAAAAGCATAGGTAAGTTACTTATATTTATAAAACTACTTTTATTATAAGTTATTTATAAATAAGTTAAAGAATGAAGTATACATTTAGTAGGCCTACTTTATGGCTCTCAAAGTACTAAACGGATTTAAATGGAAAAATAAAACCTTGTCAGCTTCTGTAAGTATGTTACAGTGATCCATTAATATCCAGGCCGCTATCTTGTGTTGGAGGGTTTGTAATATTTTTATAATTGAGGCTGTAGATGCTAAAGGGGCCTAAGTCGAGATGAACGCTGATAGATGAGATTTTGCTTCCTCATGTCTTCTAGTATAGGTAATCCTTGATCTCTTAGAATGGTGTATTTGAGTTTGTTTGGTTGGTATGACTCTGAAAGCCAGCTGGTGTCACTAGGCCCTTTTAGCATGGACGAGTGCCAATGCAGACAGCAGCCAAACATAACCTAACACAGGCATTTTGTGTAAAACTTTAGGACGGGCCCTTTGAGAGGAGAATCACTATTTTGCTTCCTCGTGTCTTCTATGGAATGAAGTATTTTGCTTTTTTTTTGTTTGTATGACTCTTAAAGTCAGCTGGTGTCACCAGACCCTTTAAGCATAGCTACGTCTGCCAACGCAGACAGATAAAAATAACCTCTAAACTTAACATCAATAAATTATCAATTATTATCAATCATTAAGATGGGGACTCCACCTGTGTAGCTTTGTTACCTACTAAGATCAGCTGTTTCATTAGCCAGGATCATTTATTTAAAGGCCAATGATCAGGAACAGCTGGGTTCAGTTTCAAACCATCAAAAAGCTACTGACTTTTCTCAGGATCAAACCGGCGACCTTTTGATTACTAGGCGAGCACTATAACCACTCAGCTACCCAGCCAGTTTTCTATCTGGATCAGTTTTCGAGATAGGCCCCTTTAGGAGCTACAGCCTCAATTATGTTTGATACATTAGGCCTAATTAGAGCTAGTAAGTAACACCATGTGGTGTTACCGATGGAGGGTAAAATTAGCCTAGGCCTATGCTAACCACAGAACGGCCAACCTTAGATAGTCCAAAAAAGGCCAGGGCTTGGACTGTTCCCTGACAAAAAAAGTAGGCCTACAAAAAAGATGCTATGACTTAAGCGCAAATATAAGTTAAAAATAAAATTTAAAATAAAAATATGTCAACCATTGCTCATGTTAAGTTGGCTTTGTTCAACTTGTTACCTAGATCATCACAGTCCTTTTTTCACTTATTGAAAAATGCCTACCAGTACTCTTAAACAGTAAGTTAAGGTATCTAAAACAAGTGTATGTTGAAAATTTGTTATTCATGAAATATGTACAGGAGTTAAAGAAGCTCATCAACCACAAATTGAAGCTGGGATCCAACAAGATTAAGACTCCGAAAACTGGAAGTCAATGGCTATACATATGCTTCCGCAATGAAGAAGATAAAGAAGAGGCTCTCAAAGTACTAAACGGATTCAAATGGAAAAATAAAACCCTTTCAGCTTCTGTAAGTAAATTACAGTGATCCATTAATATAGTGAGCCAGTCGAGTACGGTTATTAGCCTATGGTTATAAGACATAAGACATGTTTATTTCCAGTAGACATGTTAGGCCTACAAATATCTTGGAAGAGTGAAACATTTTTCATGCAGTGCAGTTGTCAAATTGAGAAGTGGGTTACAGAGTGTATTTTGAAGTCTACTAAAAAAAATGCATTTTAAGTAAATAAATAGGTCTAAAACTCATATCACAGTAGAGTTTATCGATCACTACATAGAGGTAAAAACAAACATTTTAAATTAGCAAAACATTACAAAATTAGACTCGTACTACAAGGCATTAGGTGAAGGCACAATAGTTAGACAATGACAACTAAAAACATAACTTTGACGAAGGAAGGTCTAAAAAGTCTTTGAGTTCGTTAAAAGGATTAACAGAGCTAGCGATTGGAACACTTTCTGTTTAAAAGAATAATATGGGAGAGAAAAAATAAGTGTTGGAATACAGTAGACCACCTCTTAACCGACCCTAATGGGACCGGACCTAGGTCGGATAACTCAAAAGGTCGGATAAAACGGGCAATCCCTAAAATCATAACATAATGAAGTGCTATTCATTTGGAATTATATAATCATCATTTTGAAGTCATACTTGCATTATTTATAAAATAAACTACTCTTATCTCCTTTTTCATATTGATAGAAAAGTCACAAATAAACACAAAACACAGTTAAGTCAAATAGGCCTACTTTCAGCGGAATATATTATTATAATACTAGGCAAGAGTCAATATAATTCCTATTTTAATAACTTTAATACTGTAATGTATTAATTGATGCTTTCCAAATACATCGTAATACAGTACAGAACCTTTTGTCGACATTAAAGATACAAGCGACCATTTTGTTACAAAACAGGACGTTTATTTATAGCCTCTCACTGGAGGCTCCAGGCACAAAAACTATCTTGACCTTGGAGTTGTTAACCCCCTTTCCCTGCCTTCCTTACAAGTTGCGTTGTTTGTTTACTCCGGCAATAAGATAATCAGTTCTCAAAATCGTAACGCACTTTATGATGTTATAAATTTGCCGCACAGATAACAAATCAGATCAGATGTGCTCAAGCTACGAACGATGATGACAAACTGACAATAGGCTATGCTATATTTTTTGTGCTCAACACAAAATAGCTTATTGTTAGTCATATCCTGTGGAGATAGGCGTATGGTTCAGTTCTCATCGCCCAGCGTGGGAGCGGAAATGCCGAGATTCCTAGAATGTGGCGGTTAAACCGAGCTGCTCTCAAATCAAGGTCGGTTAAAACAAACTGTATTATTTTACGATCGAAGGCGGATAATCCGATTATCGGTTAATACGAGGTCGGTTAAGAGGGGGTCTACTGTATTATTAATACATTTTATGCCCACTATTTCATAGCTTTTCTTGAATTTCTCTAGTCTAACATAAGGAATGTCAAGTTTATGTCTGAAACAGGTATTGTGCTGGTGGACATCTTTACGGCTGTTAAAAACATTGAAATTCTTAACATTTACTAACAATAAATAAAAATATGTAAGTTAAAAAAGTGAGAATTTTAATATCAATAAAAATTGGTTTAAATGGCGTTCAACAACATCAACTTTGGCCATTATCCTTAAAATCTTTTTCTGAATTACAAGAAGCTTTTTACATGTGGGCTATTTCTCTGAAAAAGTATTCCATAGCTTACTGCTGATTGGAAGAGGCCATAGTAAACATTTATCAGACAATCTATCGGTATTACATAGCTTAATTTTCTAAAAAGGAACTTCAATCGACTCAGCCTAGAACAAAGTTGGTTTATATGAAGCTCCCCCCAAGCCATAGAAATATGTCATTTACTTTTTACACTAATAAAGAGGATTACAATTGTTTCTCTCAATATATTTAAGTTAATAAGTCTTTATATGATTCCTATGCAATAACTATAGGCCTAAGCATAAAGCACATTTTATGGGTAGGCTACTCAAAATAACTGAAATAGATAGGCCTAAGCTATCTGCATGGTTGGGAAAGTTAGTAAAAAATTCTAACTAGTTAGGAGTTATTAGTTAGTCCCGTAAAAAGTAACTGATAGAAGTTATTAGTTTTGAAAAAATAACTGATGGAAAATAAAGTTAGTTTTTTCAGAAGTTCTATTTGTTGATGGGCAGTTGTTTTAAAGGATTTCGGAATGACACATCTTGGTTACTAATCTATAATATGCTCTATAATATATAATATGCTCTATATATATACTATATATACTATATACTATTGTAGTAAAAAAACATGTGTCTTCAATTCTTTATTATTGTTTTGTTGTGTTTGTAAACAAATCCATTATAATTCAATGTAGTATTGTTCAAGTTATTAAAAACCTTTCTAAAGGTAATAAAAGTTCTTTTTCATTCGTTCTTACTCTCATTACAATTTTAATAACTTGATATTGTGAAATGAATACGATCCTAAAGCCAGACAAGTTTAGTGTAGATCCAAACTCATCATCTGCAAGTAAGGAATGGACACATTGGCACAAAACGTTTCAGAATTTTGTTACCAGCATCACACCACAACCATCCGACTCCGATAAACTCAAAACACTTATAAACTTTATTACTCCGGAAATCGACGAGTACATAAGTGAAAGCGGTACGTATAACGATGCTATATCTGTGCTAAGAAGTATCTATGTAAAACCTGTAAATGAAATATATTCCAGACATAAACTATCTGCACGTCAGCAGCAACCTGAGGAGACTATTGACCAATATCTCCAGGCTTTAAAATTACTAAGTAAAGACTGTCAGTTTAAAGCTGTCACAGCTGAAAAGAATAGGGATGATTATATCCGTGACACATTTATTGCAGGAATAAAATCTTCAGCAATTCGCCAGCGCTTACTAGAAAATGTTTCGTTGACCCTAGATCAGGCATATAGTCAAGCCAGATCCCTAGAACTTGCACATGAGCAATCATTAGCTTTCCAATCTATAGTAAATGCAACTTCGTCCCAAGAAACTCAAGCAAGCAATCAGAATGTTGAAGCAACTTCAAGCAGTTTAGAAAAGTGTTCTCTAGCTGCTGTGACTGAAAAATGTTTCTTTTGCGGTAATCTAAGACATCCTAGGGTCAAATGTCCAGCTAAAAATACAATTTGTCATAACTGTGGTAAACAGGGGCATTTTGCTAAGGTCTGCAGGGCAGGTAAACTACAAACCAAGCAATTGGATAAATCTAAAGAAGTAATGAACTCTATTGACCTAGCAGCTTCGCCCGGTGGGTTAACAAAGAGTACAGTACAAGCCCTAGTTAATGGTAAATCTGTCTCTGCTTTGATAGATACGGGAAGCTCTCTAAGTTTTATAAACAAATCTACTGCTCTTAATTTAGGTATTCCTATAAAACCAGGTAGGGGTACTGTCTCAATGGCTACTACATCAATCACATCCGACATAACAGGTCAATGCAAAGTAAATCTTGTCATTCTTGATCACTTTTACAAGCAAGTTAATCTTTCATTGTTACCAGATCTTTGTGCAGACATAATTGTTGGACATGATATTTTGAAAAACCATGCAAGTATTAAAGTAGTCTTTGGTGGTAACAAGTCACAACTAACCGTATGTAGCGTGGCAGCCTCAACTGTAGAACCGGTATCTTTGTTTTCTAATTTAAAACCGGAATGTAAGCCAATCGCAATCAAGTATCATCGCCATAGCACCAATGATTTAAAGTTTATTGAAAACGAAGTAAGTAAATTGCTCAAAGACGATGTTATAGAGCCTAGTATGTCTCCATGGAGGGCTCAAGCATTAGTAGTTACTACTGAAAATCATAGAAAAAGAATGGTCATTGACTACTCCAGAACTATAAATCGTTTTACATTACTGGACGCTTACCCACTACCTAGAATCGATGATATCGTTAACAAAGTTGCAAATTATGAGTTTTTCAGTACTATCGACTTGAAAAGTGCGTACCACCAAGTTAAGATAAGAAATGAAGAAAAGCACTACACAGCTTTTGAGGCCTGTGGTCAACTCTACCAGTTTAAGCGTATCCCGTTTGGGGTCACTAATGGGGTGGCAGCATTCCAACGTGTAATTGACCAAGTCATCCGAACAGAACAGTTACAAGACACTTACGCCTATCTTGACGATGTTACAATCTGTGGAAAAACACAAGAACAACATGATATAAACTTAAAAAAGTTTATCGAAGCTGCATCCAAATACAATCTAACTATTAATAATGAGAAGTCTTCATTTTCACTGCGATCGATCAACTTGTTGGGCTATCATATATCAAACAAAACTATCAAGCCTGACCCCAGTCGACTAGATCCTTTGAAAAATTTACCTCCGCCCAGAGACACCGCATCACTGAGGAGGACCCTTGGTATGTTTTCACATTATGCATCACTTATACCAGATTATGCTGCCAAAGTGATTCCACTTGCGCGTACTACATTCCCTTTGTCCAAAGCAGGGCTCCAGTCTTTTGAAGCTATAAAAAGTGAAATCATCGGATCTGTAGTAAGCTGCATTGACCCTGAAGCACAGTTCATCGTAGAAACTGATGCATCTGAGAGTACCATTGCTGCTACTTTGACTCAATCGAACCGTCCAGTTGCATTCTTCTCAAGGATACTTTCTCCAGCAGAACAAAGACATTCAAGTGTCGAAAAAGAAGCACAAGCTATTGTGGAAGCACTGCGGAAATGGCGTCACTATTTGGTTGGTAAACATTTCAAACTGATTACTGACCAGAGGTCGGTTTCTTTTATGTTCGATAACAACCGTCATGGCAAAGTGAAAAATGAAAAGATAATGAGGTGGAAATTGGAATTGTCGTGCTTTCATTATGATATTGTATATAGACCCGGTAAAGATAATATGGCTGCAGATGCCCTGACTAGAGTATGTTCTTCAATCCAAAATCAAGAAAAACTGTTGATTGATTTACATGCCAATCTATGTCACCCAG